GGGAAGGGATTTGATGGAGACCTCCGTTTAGACTCTCTCTGTGTGTAATGCCTGGCTGTAGGTCTCTGCGTCTGTTCCCATCTGCTGCTTGAGGAAACTTCTCTGGCGATGACTGAGTGAGGTAGTGATCATGTTTGTCTTTTGGGGTCTGGGTTACCTCATTCATGATAATTTTTTTTCTGGTTCCATCCATATGTCTGCAAATGTCATGATGTTATTTTTAACAGCTGAGTAGTACTCCATTCTGTAAATCTGCCACATTGTCTTTATTCATTTTTTGGTTGAGAGACATCTAGATTGTTTCCAGTTTCTGGTTATTATGAATAAAGCAATAATTAACATGGTTGAGCAAGTATCTTGTGGAGCATCCTTTGGATATATGCTCGAGTGTTATAGCTGGATCTTGAGGTAGATTGATTCTCAACTTTCTGAGGACCCACCATATTGATTTCCACAGTGGTTGTTCAAGTTTGCACTCCCACCAGTAATAAATGAGGGTTCTCCTTATCCCATATCCTTACCAACGTGAGCTTTCACTTCAAATATTGATCTTAGCCATTTTGATAGTTGAAAGATGAAATCCCAATGTAGTTTTGATTTGTATTTGCCTGGTGGCTAAGGACATTGAACATTCTTTAATAGTTTCTCAGGAATTTGAGTTTTCACTATTGAGAATTCTCTATTTAGACCTGTACTCCACTTTTTAATTGGGCTATTTAGTTTTGTTATATTTAGTTTCTTGAGTTCTTTATAGATTTTGGATATTAGTCACCTATCAGATACGAAGTTGGTAAAGATCTTTTCCCATGCTGTAGGCTGGGCCTTGTCTGGATGACAGTGTCCTTTGCTTACAGAAGCTTTTCAATTTCACAAAGTCCATTGATTAATTGTTGATTTTAGTACCTGTGCTTTGGGTGCTGTTTAGAAAGCCGTCTCCTGTGGGAACTCATTCAAGGCTATTCCCCATTTTCTCCTCTATCAAGTTCAGTGTATCTGGTTTTATGTTGAGGTCATTGAGCCACTTGGACTTTGTATAGGGTGATCAATATGGATCTATTTGAATCTTTCTACTTGCGGGCATCCAGTTTGGCCAGCACTATTGTTGAAGATGCTGCCACCTTCCCAGTGTGCATCTCTGAACTCTTCATCCAATCAAGTGTCCATATGTGCACGGCTTTATGGCTTGGTCTGCAGTGATCAACATGTTTGTTTTTATGCCAATACCATGCTGGTTTTTTAATTAATTAATTAGTAAACTAATAAATAAATTATTTTGTTTTGTTTTTCGAGACAGGGTTTCTCTGTAGCTTTGGAGCCTGTTCTGGAACTAGTTCTTGTAGACTAGAGTGGCCTTGAACTCACAAAGATCCACTTGCCTTTGGTATGTGCCACCACAGCCCAGCCATGCTGTTTTTATTACTAGTGCTCTGTAGTACAAACTGAAATCAGGAATGGTGAGAACCTCTAGTAGTTCTTTTATTGTTCAGAATTGTTTTAGCTATCCTGAGTTTTTTGTTTTTTTCCATATGAAGTTGAGAATTGTTTTTTTTTAAAGTCTGTGAAGAATTATGTTGGAATTTTGATGGGGGTTACATTGAATCTGTAGGTTGCTTTTCATGAAATGGCCATTTTTACACACTAATTCTACTAATCCATAAGCCTGGAAGATTTTTTCATCTTCTGATACCTTCTTCAATTTCTTTCTTCAAGGACTTGAAGTTTTTATCACACAAATCTTTCACTTACTTGGTTAGAGTTATCCCAAGATATTTTGTATTTTTCTAAGGCTATTGTGAAAGGTGTTGTTTCCCTGATTTGTTTCTTGGTTCATTTGTCAGACAGAATATTCTACCGTGCCTTTGTAGATGCATGCAACCTCTTCATTAGAATCTCTGCACTGAGGGTAGGCTCACTCTGTGTCTCCTGCTACATCTCCATGGGAGAAGCATCTTATGTGACACTCAGGCCACAGTGAACAGCTTAAGTGGTAATGCCTGGCCATTGCCACCCCGGGGTTAAGACTGTGGAGAGACAGGCATTGAAAACCCCGTGATGGGACATGAAAGTGACTCTAAGTTCAGTTAGCGTTTGGGAATTCATATGGAAAAAGGAGAGGACCTTCAAATGTGTGTATGTGAACACACACACAAGAAAATGGGAGAGAGAGAAATCTCTTTATTTGTAAGCTTTATTAACCTCTGTAGAAATTCCACTCAAAACTAAAAATTATTTGTTTCTTAGTCTATTCTCATGAGATCCTGTTAGATAAGCTACCCTACACTCTGTCCCGATAAAACACATTCTCCACAGATAGGTTGCCAGCACCATGGACAGATCTGGCAATGAGCCAGACTAAGTAAACACAGAGCCATAGGACAATTTAGCAGTATTTAGAAAATGAGATCACAGAGCTGTTGCAGCAAGACTCTCTAGGCTGCTGGAATCAACATGGCTAACCCACATGACCACTGCCTTTCTTTTCCTCATTTTAGGGGTGTTTCCACATCATTAGCCTTGCAAAATTGCCCGTTCCCACAATGCATCTGACACCATGGCACACCAGGAAAACTCAATTAAAAGAAGAAAGGGAGAGAAAATGAACTTTCAGGATTGTTCTGACCTAGTCCTATAATTTTCCTCATTTCTCTCTACCTTAACTCATGAATAACATCCACAGCCTTCAAAATCTGTCCATAAGATGACTGTCCAAGACGGCACCCTTGTGATTCTCTCAAGAAGCCTACACCCACCTTTAAGTGTATACTGAAGCCCTTTACTTAATAAACCCTGCTTTAGAAAACCCCAGGTTTGTTTTATACTGACTTGTCCTGAAATTGTTATCTGCAAAGTAATTCAGTACCTTCATCTCTCCCCTGGTGGAGTCTCTGAAAAGAACCCTGGCCACATACAGGCCAGTACTGAGCTGGGCCTCCCACAGCTACTGACAACAATGGCTCTGGTATGCAGAATGCCAGGATTTAGCAATTTACCAACTGAAAGCCATCCATAGGAAGGGACTAGAATAGGAAGTAAGTATGATTAGCTTTACAAGAACAAAGATGGAGAACTGAAGCTGCAAGGAAATAACCAGGTCTCCTGTCCACTTCCTTTCCTTTCCTAGCCTAGCATACATTGACTATATGGTTGCTATAATGTCCTGGCTAGTTTTATGTCAACTCAACACTAGCTAGAGTCACTGGAGAAGAGGAAGTCTTAACTGAAAGAATACCTCCATAAGATCAAGTTACAGACTAGTGTATAAGGCATTTTCTTAATTAGTGATTGTTACGGGAGGGCCCCATCTGTTGTGGATGGTGCCATTGGTAGTAAGAGGCCACTCGTTTGTTCCTGCCTGCTCAGCCCTGAAATAACCACACAGAAACTATATTAATTAAATCACTGCTTGACCCATTAGCTCTAGTTTCTTATTGGCTAACTCTTACATCTAAATTTAACCCGTTTCTATTAATCTGTGTATCACCATGTGGCTGTGGCTTACTGGCAAGATTCCAGCACATCTGTTCCCAAAGGCTACATGGTGTCTCCTTATTCTGCCTTCTTTCTCCCAGCATTCAGTTTAGTTTCCCCCAGCATTCAGTTTAGTTTCCCCCACCGAGCTCTACTCTGTCCTATCACAGTCCAAGGCAGATTCTTTATTCATTAACCTATCTTATTCACAGTATGCAGAAGGGAATCCCACATCACCATCCCTAGGCTGGTGGCCCTGGGTTCTTTAAGAAACTAGGATGAATAAGTCATATGAAGCAAGCCTCTCTCTTTGTATTCCCCCTTCTCTTCCTCTATCTCTTTTGCTGTGGGATAATGCTCTTGTACCCTGTAAAGATTTGTCACTTGTATTGGTTTAATAAAACACTCATTGGCCATTGGCCAACAGAAAGTATAGGCAGGGTGACCAGACTAGGAGAATTCTAGGAAGAGGAAAGACTCAGTCTGCAGTCACCAGCCAGATACAGAAGAAGCAAGATGAGAATGCTTCACTGATAAAAGGTACCAAGTCACATGACTAACATAGAAAAGAATTATGGGTTAGTTTAAGTTATAAAAGTTAGTTAATATTAAGCCTGAGCTAATAGGCCAACCAGTTTATTATTAATATAAGCCTCTGCATGTTTTGTTGGAACTGAATTGCTGCAGGACCAGATGGGACAGGAACTTCTATCTACACTCTCTGATCTGTTCCTACTTCTCTTGTGTCTAGGTTCAGGCTGCTAGACATGTTCAAACTACTTCTTTCTCTCTTTCTTCTCTGGAATCTTCCAGATTCATCTGGGTGTTCTTTTTCTCCCATATCTACAATAAAAATTTTCCCCTTAATCATACCGTGGAGTGGCCATGTCATCAATTTACATAAATGATGAAGCACAAGCCAAATAAACCCTTTCTTCCCAAAGTTGCTTTGGTCATGATGTTTCATACAACAATGGTAACCCTAAGACACGTAGTAAGCTAGAAAAGAAAGCCAAATTATTCAAGTGGTTCAGGCTCATGTGTTACATGCAGAGTCATAGAACAGCTATGGGAAACAGGTACAAATTATACACAAGGTTTAGAAAAGAAAGACTTCACTAACCTCTAGATATGAAAGAGAAGGAAGAATGGTCAGAACTAGGACAGGTGTGCATTAAGGACGGAATGGGTGCTCCAGTCCTAATCAGATAGGAATTCTAGAAACTTAGCACCACCAGTGTCCTTAAAAATCATGCACTGACTCCAGGGTTAAGAGCACTTCCTGCTCTTGTAGAGGACCAGGATTTGATTACCAATATCCATATCAGGCAGCTCACACCACCTGACCACCTATAACCTCAGATCCAGGGTATTTAATACCCTCTGCTCGCCTCCTTAGGTACATGCATGAGTGCGCGCGCGCACACACACACACACAGAGTTTTAAAATCATGTACTATATGTGTTGTTTTCAGTCCTTTTTTCCAAATTCTTTATTTACTTGTGCTTTGCTCTGTCTATGCTCCCTGCAGGCCAATTTGATATTCCAGAAGGGGTCGTGTTCTCTATGCCTGTGAAATTTGAGAACGGAATGTGGGTAGTTCTTACAGACCTTGAGGGCGTTTCGCTGAGTAAGCAGATAATAAACTGGCTCACGGATGATCTGATTCAGGTACGGCAGAGGGCCTACGAAGGAGCTGGCTTTGATAATGATCTCAAAATGGTTCTGGAGGCTAAGATATGCATGAGCTCAATTTCTGTCATGTTCCTAAAATCCATAAAGCAGCAAAGGTTTGGAGAATATATCAAAAACATGTCATGCATCTGGTTTTATAATTTTCAGTATGCTAAAAATATTTATTTGTTTTAAATCAAGCATCAAATAATTTTTCTGCTAAAGAATGAGCGGTTGCTGTCATTTAATGCTCCGATTATAACTTTTTCAACAGGAAAAACGTGTTGCATTTGGAGACTTAATAACTTTTCAGCCAGTTAAAGAAGGTAATCTCATAAATTTGTTGTCTCTTTGATCTGATGCCAAAAAGGTACTTACAGGGTGCTGTAGAGAAGGCTCAGTGGTTAACAGCACTGGCTGCTCAAGGGATCTACGTTTGATTTTTCAACATCCATTTGGTGACACAAGCATCCACAACTCCAGTTTCAGGGCAGCCTTTTCTGGCCTCCTTTGTCAACAGACATGCATGTGGTATACAGATATATGGACAGGCAAAATGCTCATACACATAAGATAAAAATAAATCTTTTGAAATTTTTTTAAAAGGTACCACATGGCTGAAGAGGTGGCCCGTGGATAGGAGCACTTGCTCTGCAAGAAGGAGTTTGGATTGGTGCTACTCACACGGAAGAGCGAGTGTGGTCAAACATGTGTGCCTGTAACTCCCAAAGCTTCAGGCAGGCAAGAGATGGGAAGGTCTCTGAGGCCTTCTAGCTGTCAACCAAGCTCCATTTTAGTGAAAGACCCTGTCTTAAAACACCAAAGTGGAGAGAGTTAGAAGAGCCATGACCTCCTCCTTTTGCCGTGCACACATGGCCAGGCCCATGCACCTGCATTCACACTCACATACCATGCAGTGCTCACACACACATGTGCATGCATACACACAGATATGAAATGCTTGTTATAGCCGAATTGCTGTTAATACTAATACAGATAGCTAGACTACATATTTTGTTTTTAAAACTAAATTGTTAGCAAAATAAGCGGCTAAATTCAACGTGTCTTTAGAAATAAAGCCTAAAATGCTAAGGAAATCACATTTTTAGAATACTGTGGCTTTGTAAGTTTTGTATATTCCACATTTACTAGTGTTTCAGAACTAGTATAACAAGTTAGCTTGCACCAGGTGACATAAGACTAAGATGTCAGTAAAGCCCTGTTCTCTGCAAGTTCTAGAGAAGAACCCTTCCTTGCTTAGCCTGGCCTCTAGTAGAGGTACTTGGCAGTGTTGACTCGTAACCACACCACATTCTTTGCCATCCTGCACACATCTGTCTGTGCCCTGGATGTTTGTGTTTCCAAATCTCTCTCAAGCTACAAGGACTAGACCTCACTGCGTTTAAGACCAATCTTGATTTCACTATGACTCCATTTAAATTTGTACTTGTATTTTTTGTTATATGTATGTGTGTGTGTACATGCATGATTTATGTGTACCACATGTGTGCAAAAGCCTGCAGAGACCACAATAGAGTGTTGGGTCCCCTGGACATGGCAATTGCAAGCTTCCTTGTGGGTGTTGGGAACCAAAGTCTGGTCCTCTACAAGATCAGAAAATGCTCTTTACTGCTGAGCTGTCTCTTGAGCCCCCATAAGACCCTTATTTTAAATCGATTATCTCTGCCTACAAACAAGATTAAAAGTACAGGCACCAGCAGTTAGAACTGCTATCTGTCTTTGGGGAAGCACAGTCTAACCTACTATACCATATTTACTTTTAAATAACTTTATTTACAATCCAGTAAATATCAATAAACACACTTTTCCCTTTGATGGTTTTCTAATCATGAACTCCTAAGGAAGTGCTGCCTTCTCTCCTTTTTTCTTCTCCGAGCCATTTAAAAAATTCTCAATTGGGCATGGTAGCACACACACCTGTAATTTTAGGAGGCAAAGGCAGGCTTATGTGAGTTTGGGGCCATCCCTGGTCTATGTAGTCTCTCTGAAGAGAAACCCTGTCTTGAAACGCAAAGCAATCAAACAAGAACAAGAACAAATTCTCAGTTTACATCTGGAAGAAGACATGTTGAAATGAATACACTTATCTATGCAAAGAGCATTAACCAAATGTCTTTCCCAACCTTAGATTCTCTTCTTCCACTAATATTTGTGGAGTACCAACAGTGAGCTGACAGGAAAAACTGAAAGTATAGGGTAGATAAAATAGATGGTGGCCACGCCTGATCCAAATGGCATCTCTCTATACCTGAGGAATGAGAAGAAAGGGATTCTGGGAGGGCTTATGCCAGGGAATAGAAGAGAAAACCTTGGGCCAGGAACACACAGATGGACTTGTTTGGAAGAAGTACAGAAGAACTTGGGTGACCGAAGCCCAAGGACAACGCAGAGAGGCAGAGTCATAAAGAATGCCTGTGCCAGCTAATGGAAGACTTTGGGAACAGGCGGCAGAGGGACGAAGGAGGAGCAGAAGAGTCAGCCACACAGGATGGGCAATGCAGTCTGGTCCAGTGTGTAAATAGTTCAAAAAGCAAAGCTGTGCACAGAAAGTGAAGGGATGAGGAGAGCAGCATATTAACATGAAGAAAGGATCAGTGTCAGCCAGGGTACTCGAAACTGGGCAGAGGTGTATGTTTGTTGACAAGGGAAATGGCAAAGACAGCGCCATCATTCAGAATAGGTGATAAGCGCATGGTGTGTGTCAGTAAAGGGTGTGAGTGGGACACAAGGAGCTGTACTATGAGAGCAACTGAAGGGCCAGTTAGGGTCTACCATTCTGACAGTGAAATACCCATGCAATGTCTAAAGAGATAATGTCTTAATCCTAGAGTTCAGAAAGTCCTGGACTATAGCTGTCAAACTGGGAGCTGTTGATCCATAAACAGCCGTGGACACATGACTGTGATGGATTTATCTGGAAAACAAGAGGATAAGGAGGGGTCCAGCCTTTGAGGGTTAAATAGAGCAGGGGAGGTTGGCAAAGGTGCATGATGGAGAGATGGGATGAGATGTTGTGATGTCATGGAAGGAAGACCAAGTTGTATGAGGCTGACGGTGGTGGGGAAGAGGGCCGGTCACATGAAATGAGGCCCCAAACACACCCAATAGATGGATGGCCTAGAAGTCACTCACAACTATGGTGAGAATACTTTTATGGACTGAAAAGGGAAGACATGAGACCAGAAATAGACTGTGGAGTTCACATGCTAAATGCTCTGGGCTAGAGGAATGCACTGGAAGGACTTTCTAAAGGAGACGGCAGACTACTGAGTTATGAGGAAAGCACGGGAAGAATGGTGAATCGGAGGACTCTAGTCAGAGGGAGCAACATCCACAAGAAAAAGGAAAAATGCTCAGAGAACTGGTACATTTGCTGTAGAAATAGAGCTTGACCTGAGGAATGTCTGGAGACCGGGAATGGAACAAAGAACCATTTTAAACAAACACGTGATTAGGGAGAGGAGAGAGACAGATGTAAATTTTAAGTTTAGAGTGGTTGCTATCAGTGATGTCTGATGTAGTAGAATGAGTTGAAAGAAAACCTAGAAGCAAGAAGACCAGCTCTGCAGCCAGAGGAGAGCCCAATAAAGCAGTGGCCATGGCAGTATAGAAAGAGTTACCGTTGACAGAAGTTGGGCAGTCTGAAACAGAGGGAAAGGAAAAGTCAAGGGAGTCTAGAATGTGCCCAAGGATTTGGCTGGGTAAATGGCTCAGTAGCTTAAGTGCTTGGTAGCAAGGGTGAGGATGCAGGCGGAGGGCAGACAGGAGGATCTTTGGTGCTTGCTAGACAGGCTAGACAAAGAGTGAACTCTAGATTCACGGAGACCATTTCTCAAATGATAAGGTAGAGAGCTGAAATCAACCTCTAGACTACACACATACACATGTATAAACACACATGGGTAAATGCACACATGGACACACACACAAGCAAAGTGCCCAGGGGATTTTTGGCTTTAGGATATATCATTTAAGACTATCCCTGGAATAGAATTCCCCAACAGTAAGCACCAAATGGGCTAACAATGTGGAGCTATTGATCTCAGCCCTAAGAACAGCAACAGCTCAAGCTGGCTGCCTCCACTGCCTTCGTCATTTGCCGTGTGTGCTGTCATGAGGACGACGGGCAGGACATGATTAAGGGAGAGCGCAGAGATGAAGGAGCAGGTTTTCAGGAATCCTGTAAGTGAACGTGTCTTCTGAACAATGGACACATGTCTCCACGCGTAAGAGAGATCTGGGTGGGAAAGGAAGAGATGGAGTGATCAGCAACCATTATTTGATTTCTTAGAAGAAGCTGGTAACTATGTGGACCTCTGGGAGGAGGTCCCAAGTGACTAGAAAAGGAACACTTCCTTACCCGTGCTCTCTAATTCCTTTGGACTTGGTTTTGTGAGTAATTGCACATCCAAAAAATGGACATACATATCCAAAAATAGAAAGGTGAATATTAATGTCTAGCCACCATTAGGAAGATGATGAAGCTAGGGCAGAGTGAGAAGAGTCCTCACGGCAGAGCACAGTGTCAGATCTAATCCAGAAGCATGTCTAGTGTTAAGTCTGGAGGGTGGGGCTGCAGATGGAGGTGCCTGTGTGGCGGGGAGAGCACAGAACAAAGCAGGAGTCAGGGACAGATCTCTGGAGTCAAAGACCATAATGAAGAAGGGAAGCGCTGGAAATAACTAATTTTGAAAAGGCGATACATTATACGGAAGAGGTACAGGGAGTTCAATGCAAGTCAGAGACCAAAACCAAGAGTCCAGAGTGTGATTGTGGGATTCCTTAAAGTGATGCCCAGCTTCCTGGATGCAGAAGTGGATCATTCCCCCAAATATTAGCCTGTGCTTTTATCCTAAATATTAATGTGTACTTCCATCCTATTTTGTGAGCATTGCAAACCTTGATGCTGTGTTCCACAAATTACTCTAAGGTTTTTCATACTGATTTTATCTGTAAGGATAAATTATCTTCCTAATTTTTTTTTCTTTTTCTCACTTTCTTCTCCTTTTATTACTCAGGCTTTAAGTGGTTGGGGTGATTTGGGTACCTACATTGAACACGGGAATGGAAGAAACCAGTCTTGTTGTTTTGCTTAGCCTCTAAGGAGGAAGGGGCTAAGACAAAGAGGTATTTGGTGGGTCTGTGTTTGCACCAAGAAGGAAAAGATAATGAGAAATCAAGTTTTCAAAGCCCAACCAGAGGTGATATTAAACGTCTCTAAGAATCAATCAGTGCAAATTCCAACCAAAGATGTTTGCTTTCTTTCAGAATGAGCTAGTGAGAAGAAACTGACAGAAGGCCATTGGTTTAGACCAAGGAGAATTTAGTGAGATCTGGGCAGAACGTGAGGCTGGGGAAGTCAGAGCTTGGCTGATGATCAAGTCTCCAGAACAGAGCCAAAACAAACACAGCCCAGAGGCAAGATGGGGGGTGTTCAGGTTGTAGAAGTCCAAGGAGCAGCTGGTTTTAACTTGAGTTCTTTTATTCTTAAAATTTACAGGTCCTCTGGGTGGCTGAATGGGTTTGGCAGGCAAGAATGTAATTTTCTTCCTCTAGAAAGGGCTTCAAAACTGTCATCCTATGTTTGACTCATTGACTGGTAACTGGTCCTAAATTTCTCAACTATGCTTGACTATGAAGAGTCTTGTGAAAGAATATGACATGGTATAAACTGAATTTTTATTTATTAACAAAGGTCTAGATTGCTTTTTACTTTGTTACCTTTGGACCTTGTCTCTACCCCAAAAATAGAGCCCACTGTCCCAGATATTCCAAAAATAACTAGAGCAGTCTACCTCTCAGTTTGGAGATCTCTGTTAACTAGCTCATCAGTGAGAAGATTCATGTAGGAGGCTTATGAGATCTCTTCAGTTACTTTAATACTTAACTTTCTGACCTTCAGGCTATAAACTAAGTTTTAAAAAGGTCAAAACACCTCTGACTTCTCCACAAATGACAGCCAGGAAGAGCATAAGGCCGTGAGTAGTAAGTAGACTTGGGTGGAGGAAAAAATATGTTCCATTCAATCTAAGAATTTTCACTGAGTTTCAAAGAAAGAAATTTAATCATCTGTTAGCCATAAAACAGTTAAGACCTTCAAAATCCTCATCCCGTACTAAAAAAATAAGATCATATTTTATACTTGATCCTATCCCAAATGTCAAGCTACATGAGATCATATTTTAAAGGTACTAATAAATCCTCATAGCAAACTATAGAGTATTCCTTGAGCTTCGCGGAATCACTGATTTCTATGAGAGACAACGGAAGTACAATAAATAAAGAGGCTGTCATAGCTAGGGTTTCTGTTGTTGTGTTAAAACTCTGACCAGAAACAACCTTGGGAAAGAATGGGTTTATTCAGCGTACACTTATACATCAAAGGAAGTCAGAGCAGGGACCTGGAAGCAGGAACTGATGCAGAGGCAATGGAGGAGTACTGTTAATTGGCTTGCTTATGCTGCTTTCTTACAGCTCCCTGGACCACCAGCCCAGAGTGGCACTATCCACTGTGAGCTGGGACCTCCCACATCGATCATCAAAATGTCCGACAGGGTTGCCCACAGACCAGTTCTAAGGAGGCATTTTCTCAAGTGAAGTTCCCTCTTCCCAGATGACTAAGATTGCATCAAGTTGACATAAAACTTGCTAGCACAGAGGCTGTAGTCACACAAACTGTGTAGGAGAAGGGCCTAAGAGCCTATGACATGCCAAGACTCACAATTTAACAGCTTAACAAAACAGAGTTTTGAAAATCAAAATGAAGGAAACACGATTGGCAATCTAAACATTCAGAGGGAGAGGAAAGACCCAGTAACATGAAGGAGAAAACCTAAACTAGTCTTAAAGTTACTTTAGAACTAAGACGGCAGAGGAGAACTAAATGGGTGTTTGTTCAGAAACAGCACTGCATTGGTCATGCAGCTTTAGCGTTCTAGACATCCGCCAGTCAGCAGTGGGCACGCTGACGGTGCTGCATGGTGTTTCCACGTTTTCATGCGAGATGTATCTTACATCACAGATGGAAGAAGTGGGGAGACAGGGAGAAGCCATGCTAGGTGCTTTAAAACACATCAAACAGATGCTTGCCTTCAAAAGTAGCTCCTTTATAGCACGTGAAATAGCAGAGCAAAGAGGAAAAATTCAGTTCTGAGAAATGTCTTTGTTCTGGTCATTATTCTAAAAAACAGCGGGAAGTCACTTCTCACGGTTCAAGGAGCATGTTGAGAAGAAGGCACTGGCAGATTCAGTGTGAGGTCAGGGCCAGTTTTGTTATTTATTTTTCTGTCTTCACATGAAAACAAGCACAAATGAATTTTGATGGACCTGTTTTGGAAGACTGTAATTCTGAATTCACCAAGGCTGTGCCCTCCTATAGTGATATATGATTGTGTTTTAATAAATAAAGCTTGCCTGAAGATCAGAGGGCAAAGCAACCACACTAGTCAGCCATACAGGCCAGGGAATGGTGGCACATACCTTTAACCCCAGGATTTGGGAGACAGGCAGAGGGAACCCTGTTAGTTCAAGGCCACCCTGAGTTACACAAGATTGAATGTGTCTAAAAGAGAAACAGAGCTCACACAAAGGTGATCCCAGCACTTGGAATCATACACCCTTAATCCTGGCACTAAGGAGGTGGAGACAGAGTTATATGGCTGTACAGAGAGAGGAGGATGTGGAGACAGAAGTTATATGGCTGTACAGAGAGAGGAGGATGTGGAGATAGAAGTTATATGGCTGTACAGAGAGAGGAATATAAAGAAGAGACAGGAACTCAGTGGAGTGTGGGGTCTGAGGTAGGTGGAGAGCGTTGCAGGATAGCCCTTTCGGTCTGAAGATTTGGTAGAAGAAAAACGTCTCTCTAGTGGTTGATTGTTTTGCTTTTCTTATCCTCAGGCTGAACCCCAGTATCTGTCTCTGGGTTTTTCTTATTCATGCTATACCCTCCTCTGGTCACCTCCCCAAGTTCAACCTTTCAGTATAATCACGAGAAGGTTTGCACTTCAACATATGGGTTGATAGGGTGCAGAACACAATCGTTTACATCCTGTGGGGATGCAGTGCTGGCACAGAGACCTAGGCAGGGTGGAAGCAGCTGGGGGTCCCTGTGGTAACTGGGAGGGTAAGGAAAGACTTCCCGGAACAGACGACGTAGGAGCTGGGCTGCATGGTGATGGATCCTTCTTTCCTGGGATTTAGAACAAAAGTGTGTAGTTGAAGTGGAGAGGAGAGAGAAGATGCTAAAAGTCACCCCCCTCAGCAAAGAGACCTTTTGGGTAACCAAGGCAAGGCCAGAGGTGCATAATTCCCCCAAACAGTAAGGTATCTGGGTTAGGACAGGGGATGCAAAATGGACTAACAGACCTGGGGAAGAAGGTAGCGATCACATGATGCTTGGCGATGCTAGGTTATTTGGCTGGTGGATGGTTGGCCAAAGCATGGACTAGTTGGAGGTCAAGCCTGAACTACCCTGGCCATTTCAGTAGCCTCTGGAGGTCGTTTACAGCCCTGTCACTGTCCAGCTTCAGCAGAGCTTGAGAAGCCTGGATTTAATCTGGAGAGGAATTATTCCTCCAGGAAGGCTGACTGGCACTGCAGAGGCCCCGAGAGAACTGATCTGTCATGAAGAAGGTGACTAGCTGCTTCCTGGGATGAGCAGGCAAGAAACCAAGCTGTAGAAAACACATTCTCTAGAATAATTCCAGTTCAAGTTGCTAGTTGAAACTTGAGGTACTTAACCTTCTTCCAAGTGATATTTTTAGCCGAAGATATTAAATATCAGACTAAAGAACTCTGAGGCCCCTGACTGAGTAGAGAAGATGGCACTGATTTCAGGTTTTCGGGGGGGGGGGGGTGTGTGTGTGATTTTTTGAATAAGCATTAAAATCAAGCATACCATATAGTTTTTTCTGAATTGGGCATCAAAATGTTAATTATTAAGAAAATCAACTTAATCACCAGGACTTTCCCATTGAAATATAAAACTGGCAACAGGTGGGTTAAGAGAGCTGTTTTTCCAGTGAACTGGGAAAGGATAGAACAGTACAGCACAGGATAGATCAGGGCAGCACAGGATAGACCAGGATAGCACAGGATAGACCAGGGCAGCACAGGATAGACAAGACAACAGAAAGAGAGGGAGAGAGGAAAAAAATAATAGATAAATAAATCCTATACATATTAATAATAGCGTATACAACATATCAATACCATAATCTGTATGTTAATATGCTTTAATCATATGTATGTATTAATATTACACATACACACACATGTGAAGCCAGGCATGCTCCTGCCTGTGATCCTAGTACTTAAGTAGTTAACTAACTCTGCTCAGAATCAGAAACCAGCCTGAGCTAACAATGAGATACTTTCTCAAAAAAAAAAAAATTGAAACGAATGGTAAGTAAAAAGAGATTAGAAAGCAGTTTTTTGGTTAATTCGGAGTGTTGTGGCAAGTAATTTTTAGTCAATCTGCGTGTCCATAAACATGAGCTATGATATCATGCACACACACACACACACACACACACACACACAGAGAGAGAGAGAGAGAGAGAGAGAGAGAGAGAGAGAGAGAGAGAGAGAGTTTTTACTGTTAATCTTGGCACAAAGTTTGAAAAGCACCAACTCAGAGTATCTATCTCACAGGCTGGTTATGATATTTGAACACTGACTTTTTGCATTTTTACTTCCAGAACGTAAGGATAGCATACATTCCAACATGAGCTCATCTGAAGAAAAGGAACCAGCAGTGTCAGACGGTGAGTTGTGGAACCTCGCGGTCAGGGCTCCTGTCTAGCTGCAGAGCCCGGGACGCTGGGAAGAAGGGTTCAGGAACAACTCAGTCTCTCCCTTATGCCCCATAAACACTTTGAGAAGGAAGAAAGAAAGCCTCGATAACTGCTCTCATACTGAAACTGCTTTCTCAAACCTCGAACTCCCAAGACACTTCAGCTCAGTCCTGGCCCCACTTTTCGCTACTCACCTCTCCTTTACAAAGCCCCAAAATAACCAACGGAACAGAAGGGAGTCCTCTTCAGAGAGTCCCGAGAGCGGGAGCCTGAGAGACCCGAGTGAGAACGCTCTTTGACTCTGACAACTTTGTTCTCAGTAGTTGAACTGGGAGTAGGCGGAGAAAGCTTGAGAACACCAGTACAGAAGCAAGTATGGGTTCTAAATGTGCGCACACAAATCAATGGATAAAATAACAATCCAGTGTGCTTATCCAGATCCCTTTCTGTAGAAGAAAGCTGGGCATCATGGGGCAGTTGCCCAGTGATTTGCACTGTGAGGCCAGCGTTTGTGGGAGTTAGCAGAGTTGGAGCCCAGTTCTCTGTCGGGACAGCTGCTTGCTCGGTGGTACATGGAGCCAGGACATAGTTATTGTCTTAGACTGAGACTTTATCCAGACGTGGCCTCACCCCTTGCAACTCCTAATAGAGCAAAGCCACCAGGGAAGTGCCTAGGAGGAAGGAGTGAGACAGGAGAAAGCAAGAATGGCCACAACAGTCGGCATGCTTTAAATAGTAACTCTTTTGATTCTCTACTTGCTGCAGAAAATTTTTCAGATCTGAGTTATAAGCTCACCTCTGAAAATTTATAAATTCGAGAATCCACAAGTGGTAGATGGTAGACATAGCATTAATAAGCTCTCCATTGTCTTCCTCTACAAGTGGGATTGGTTAGCACATGATCCAGGCTCCATGCAGTACAATTCTCCCCTAGCAATTGCCCCCAACAGTGCAGTAGAGATTCGATGGCTGACTCTCTTCTCTCTAATGACCAATGCCACGATAAGGGCCGTCTGTTCTTTCCCCAGGATGAATGACAGAATAAGCCTTGTGAGTTCCCTTCACCAAAGCATTTGTCTGAGGTCTCCCCAAGTTTTCCCCTTTTCTTATGAAAACAGTTGATATGGCTTTCTTAGTGGCCTGTACGAGTCAGGATGTACCTCCCCCCTTGTGTGTAACATCCTGTAAGCACAGCCCACTTCCTGTTCTGACAGTGCGCATGTTGGGCTTGGGAACGAGCTGGCTGCGAAGGACTAGAACTCGTGCACTGAAGAGAGGCGAGACCCAGGGATGAACCTGCCCACATGCTTCCTCTCAGGGAGCCAAACTGGAGGCAGTGGGAGAGGGGGGCATGGCTAAGGTAAACACAAGTTACTGGTGAATTTTAGAGACTGTTACATCTTTCCATGTTTTCTTCTCTTTACAGACTCCGAGGGAAAAACTGGGGACCAACAATAGCTCCAACCAGACCAAATACAAAGGAATTGAAATTGTATGAAATAAAGACCCCTGAGTGTCTGCATTAGGGAAGAGCAATTAAACAGCAGTTAAGAGACTAAAAGCAACAGCGCAGCCACCGCGCTGCCAGGGTCTACTCCCACTTGTGTTGATTATTGCATGTCCTCAAAAATAAGTGGATGCAAACCTCTGTTTTCAGTACTTTAACCTAGTGCTGTCAGTCAGCGCATCTTTGTCTGGACATCACCTCTTGCCTTCCGCCTGGTCATCCTGGAACTCCCTATATAGAACAAGCAGGCTTCTGACCCCAAGTGCTGGGATTAAGGTGTGTACCTCCACGCCCAGGCCTTCCGCCTGGTCATCCTGGAACTCACTATATAGAACAAGCGGGCTTCTGACCCCAAGTGCTGGGATTAAGGTGTGTACCTCCACGCCCAGCTTCCACCCATCATTCTTGAACTGGGACGCTAAAGCCATCTGTCTCACATCTCCTTAACACCTCAGCTGATTGGGCCAGAGCTAAAAAGAACAGATTCATCAACCCATTCTCTACTCTCTTCTCCTCTTCTCTCCTTCCCCTGCCTCCCATTCCTTCCCCCTTCATTTCTCTGCACACAGAACCCTGTTAGCTGAAACAAGAGGATGAGCAGTTGGTACTGAGTTCAGTTAATGGCGGTAAACTGAGAAAACTGCAAACTCCATGAGATCCTCTGGTCTAGTCAGGCCGCTCACCTTCCGAAAACCCAGATGTGCACTGTTTGCTTTGGGAATATTTGGTATAAGTGTCTCTGCAACAAATAATATAGTTTGGTTAATATTGACTAACGAGGCTTCTATCACTTGACACGTGATATGGTCTGAATTTTGAAAGAAAAGCAGATTTTTTCCAAAGAATCACACCATGGAAGTAAAAATGAAAGTCTTTTTTAAAGCAACACGACTCAAATCAATGTTCACATACATTTCCCACATTCCTAGGACCGTGTACCAATGCTGCTTAGGGACTCATGGAAGCCCAGGAGTCTGGTGAAACACTTCAGCTTTTAAGGTACAAACCGCTTCCTGAAAATTTGGGGCATCTCAGATGCTTCTGCCTTGCTTCCATACCATGATAATACATGGATAATCTCAAAACACAACTGGCTAGCTTGTTTCCAAAGTTAGCACTTTATCTGATGCTCCGTGCGGATAGCCTGATTCTGCATCAAGAGCAGAGGTTTGAGATCCATCCTACCAACTTCCTGCAATGTGTACTCAGCCGAAAGAGGATGACCACAAGCACAATAATTAGATGAATGTCGCACGTGGGGGTGTATGCATGTTGTTTCTGACATGTAAACCTCATCCCCGGTAAAACTGAATTACACTGAGAAATGAATCTGGGGTCAAGAAAATGTGTCTTCAGCCAAAGTAACACATCTTACTGTGTCCCCTTAAATCAGCACTTTGACTAACATAGCACAGTACAAGGCAAAGAAGCTAAAACAGTGAATACAATGGGCCTGGAGAGATGGCTCAGAGGTTAAGAGCATTGCCTGCTCTTCCAAAGGTCCTGAGTTCAATTCCCAGCAACCACATGGTGGCTCACAGCCATCTGTAATGGGGTCTGGTGCCCTCTTCTGGCCTGCAGGCATACACACAGACAGAATATTGTGTACACAATAAATAAATAAAATTTAAACCAAACCAAAACAAAACAAAAAACCCAATGAATACGACCATAGACACATGCCACCTTCCAGTGTAGCAGCCCATTTACGATTCCTCACCCCGCCCCGTAGGTTATCAACTGTGGCCAGTCAAATAATTAGCTGATTCTCCTACTAAAATACAAGGAGCTAGAGAGAAGCAAAGGCAGAGATTTCTCCTCTCAAGGGCACAGTCAACCACAATCCTAGCATGCGTATGAGCTGCGTACGCCCTGCCTTTGGACCAGCATAGCAGGTTTTGGAATAGATTCCTAGATGTGAATAAAACAGCTTAACTTTAATCACTGTCCATTCCCACACATTGGCCCTGATTATCAGCAACGGGTTATGCTGGGAGGAAGGGGTAGCACTTGCTGCTTATTGAAGGCAGTGCTTCTCATCCCCCTTTAGGGAGATTCAGCTTTTCAACTGATGCCTTGTTCTTATAGTAGCCTAATATGTAATAGACCAACTTGGAAATCTCACATCTGGTTTTTGCTATTAGAAAGAGCATTAATGAAAGATTATTAAAAATAATTTTCTTGGTGTGGTTAAAGCTGACACGGTAAGGGCGCAATGGAAAGCTAGGGCATGTTGATGGGAAGGGCATTTGGTAGTAGTTACTGAGTCCAGTGGTCCAAGTCCTTGACCTTTAGAGGACACTGCTAGTTCTCTCCTCAGAGTTCTGCCTCCAATCTCTTAGCTAATAAAATTCTGATTTTGTTAAAATAATCAATGAGCCCAACACCAGGCTATAAATACTGATGTGTGTAATCTAGTCTTGCTTGACAGCAGCTGGTCTAGGGGCAGTCATATGACCCAGGTTTAAACAACACGGTATAAGGAACATCTTCTGGACGTCCAGGCAAGCTGGGGCAGGGGGGAGTTTTGTACTTCTTTCCTAAAAGGCTATTCTATCAAGATGCAATGCCTTCATTATCGGCAGCTATTTGTGGACACAAGGAGAGAAACATCACTAGAATAATAAGGTGATGATAATAAGCAATCCAAAGTGTAGGAAAATCCTGGCCATGGTGAGCTTCAAGCGCCTCTCAGCCAACCCAAGGCCAGTTCTAAACTTTGGTGAAATACTGAACTCTGCGACTTAAACTCCTCTTAGCTGGGGATTTTTATTACTTAGCAATAACTTCCATAAAGATCTATATAACTTGATAGAGAGCTTCCAAGTGTGTGATTTAGAGGAATTTTTAAAAATGTATTTAAATAAACAAATGATTTTTCCCACTCAACCAGGCTTAAAATCTGAGTTGTCTCACATTCTTAATAATTTCCCCAGACCCAGACAGACAATGCATCAAGATACATCAATCCTCCACCAGTAATTGTTTTGTTTTCCGTTAGTGCCAATTGAGCCCATCAGTTAAAACAGATTCCTAGCTAGGCATGGTGGCACACACTTGTAATCCCAGAACTTCAGAAGTAGAGGCAGGAAAATCAGGAATTTAGGGCCAAAGCTCAGCTACATTGCAAGTTCAAAGCCAGCCTGGCTTCATGAGACCTTGTCTCAACCATGGACAGATGAACAAAGACCTGAATTTATGACAACCAGTGGCTCCAGGTGGAGCCTGAGAATCTGCATTTCACATATTTCCAGGTGCTGCTGTAGCTCTAAGGACCACATTTTGACAACCACTGTCCCAGGCTGACTGGACAGTCAACTAAACCAGCCATTCCTTGAATTCATTTCACACACACCTGTACTCCAGATACTTCTGTCTGGATTTCATGTTCTGACCACAGAATTCTTATCTGATCTGGGAAATCATTTTAGGATTTCTTAATGCCATCACCATCTACCAGTCTTCATGACCTGATGGCACCTCAGCTTCTTGCCACTTTTTATATGACGTCTTTTCTTTCTGGGGTCCCACAAATCTGTGTTATTGGGGTCTCTTTAAGTTTAACAGTCTTTTGGCTTAATAACGCTTTTTATTTAATGGAGATGAGACTTGTGAGCCTTCACAAGATACAAGTGAGTAAGGTCATATATATCTACCTACTTGCTCAGTTTCTGGCCTTATAGTGAACATCTTTTTCTCTGAGATGGCCGTGGCCCAGAGCTGCATGCATTCTCGGGTTGCAGAGGACACAGAAAGGTTACCCAAGCTTGCAGCTGAGCTGTTGGCTGCAAACTAGTAACCTCCCAATGTGAGCATCTGTTCTGCCCCTCTCATTAACTTTTTTTCCGGGCAGAATTTAGGAACCCAGGGAGATATCTAATCACAAGCCTCTCACTTTGCTGGTATAGAGATGCATGGTCTTTACTAAAGATGCCACAAGCCATGGGGTTAAGTAATGCGCTTAGACTCCTCTCTTCCTGTAAGTATGCTACCTATATCTGGAAAGGAGGCCACGAAGTCTATGCATCCTAGTCAAGAACAATATACATCAGTCCCACTCCAACAGTGCTACAAAATCAACTTTTGTACACACTCAAGATTACATCTGTTTTTGCAAAAATCTTATAATGAGTTCTTAATATTTGCTGTGTTTCCTGGTTACTTTTCTATTGCTGTGATAAGACACTATGACAAAAGTCACTTATAGAAGAAAGCAATTCTTTGGGGCTTACAGGTCGGAAGGTGAGTGCATGACCATAATAATAAAGAGTGTGGAAACAGGCATGCAGGCAGCCACTGAACCGTGTCTGATTCCACAAGCATGAGAGAGACAGGCTAACTAGGAAGAGTGTGTGATTTTTAAGCCTCAAGTACACCCCAGTGATGCATCTACTTCAACAAAGCCACCCCTTCAATCCTTCCTAGAGAGTTCCAGCAGCTGTGGACCAGGTATTCAGCCAGATGAGCCTTCAAAGCACCATACTGTGCATTTGATGTGGTTTATACTTCAAAGCTTTGTCCGTTCCCTGGATGGCAGTGTTAATAACTGAAGAGAGTTTAAAGTGGTGGATCCCAGATGGTGGATCCCAGATGGTGGATCCCAGATGGTGGATCCCAGATGGTGGATCCCAGATGGTGGATCCCAGATGGTGGATCCCAGATGGTGGATCCCAGATGGTGAAGCCATTGAAATCACTGCCTTCAGAAAAGATTAAGGTAGGTCTATAGGGCTCTGAAATCATTATAAAAAAGAACAAAATTTTTGACCTAGTGTGGCTTCCTGCCTGACCAAGTAATGCCTCCTTCCAGCATGTTCCTCCCTTCCTAGTGCCATCTGCCATATGATACAGCTGAGAAGATCCTCACCAGAGCCATCACTGAACGATTTTAACCTTTAGCCTCAAAAGCTCACTACAGTTTGGTGACTGGAAGTCACCTCTATTCTACAAGAGTAGAGGATCCAAGAATAAAACCACAAAGTCACAGGTACCTGACTTTTCAAAGATATCAAAAACCTACACTGGGGAAAAGACAACTTCTTCAAG